GACTGAGGGGTGCGGGCAGGTCTGAGGGGTGCGGGCAGGGCTCGGCGCTGAGGGGCTCTGGGGTTCGGGCAGGGCTCGGCGCTGAGGGGCTCTGGGGTTCGGGCAGCGCTCGGAGCTCCGGGGCTCGGGGTGCGGGCACAGCGCTCCGTCGGGAGCCGCAGCCCCGGTGCCCCTGTGCAGCCTCGCTGGGGGCAGCGCTGCCCGACCAACAAGTTGCCGGTTCTAGGGAGCGCAGCCTGGCCCGGGGCCATGCGGGAAAGCGGCCCCGGCTCGCGGACCCTTGGCCCGGAGGGGGGCCGGTATGGGATGCGGGGGATCCCGCGGTCCCCCGGCGTTTCCCCGTGCCATGCAGGGCTGGGATGGATGGAGGGAGGTGCTGGGGTTGGCGCTCCCTTGGCGTGGCCGGCCCGGGGTGGGTTTGCCAGAGCTGTTCGCTGTCGGGCTCTGCCGGCGACCGCGATGAATAAAAAAAACCTTTTTGCAATCCGCTGTGAAGCGACGACCTCCCAAGGACGATCGCGCCGCGTCTGCGTACGCGCGGAGCTGTATCCATCTCCCTGTGCCCGCATCTCCCCACCGGGCCGGGAGCGGGTCGTGGGGCGGTCACAGGGGGCCAACCCTGAGGGAGGGGAGTGGAGGGAGGGCAGGACGCGGCCCCAGCGCAGGAAACACGGGGGTGGGCGGGCGGCCGAGCTGCTCCGCAGCCCCTCCATTCCCCGGAGCTCCACTGGTCCAGGGCCCGCTGGGGCTCTGTGCCCGGGACTGAGCAAGGCAAAGCCTCCCCCGGTGCTTGCAGAGGGTCTGTCCGTGCCGTGTCCTGACCCCTGTTTCCTCCGTGCCACCCCCGCAGGTGTCTGGGGTGCAGGACAGCCTTGCTTTGGGGTGTCTGTGGGGCCCTGTCGCGGTGCCGCTGCGTGGGAGCACCTGGTGGGAACGGGGCCCCTGCTGGCTTTGTGCTCACCTTGTGTGGCGCTTTTGTTCTGCTGACCTGCCATTTCAGGGGGTTTTAGGCTTCTTGTGTATTAAAATGCTGCTGCAATACCTGGTGAAAAAGATTGTGGGAATGTTCATTGATTGAAAAAAACCCTCTTGTCGGATTAAACCCTTGACCACTTCCCTCCAAATCTTTTTAAAGTTTGTTTTGCAGACCTGTATTTTAGAGCCAAGTTTGAGCCGCATTAAATTTCAAGCCAGGAAGCCACTCCTGAGTTTGGAAGTACATTGCTTAAAGGGCTTGGGGAGTTCTGCATCATCAGAAGAGCCCAGTAGCTATGGAACCATGTCCCTGTGATTTAAAAACAAAGAATGCATTTCTGAGGTTGCTCTTGCTTATGTAAAACATCACTTATTCATATGAGTGCAAGCTGCCAGTGTTAGTTATAAATACCTTTAAAATTACAGTATATGGAAAGCTTTCATATCTGTTGGAGGTAATTCTTCCAACAGAACAGCGGTTAGCAAAGTTTACTGTGAGTTAAGTTGGATGAACTACCTGTTCTGCTTTAATTTTCAAAACTTGACATTTCCAATGAAGGTTACCAAACAGCTGAGGAGGGATGGGAGTGTCTCTTGCCTCTTGGAGGTGCATTTCATTTGAGCTTCATAATGTTTCACCCAACTCACTGGTCACTGCAGAACTAAAGGGTTAAGTGGGATTCTGGCTTATCTATTGAGAACTAAATTATGGAGCTTAAGTAAGATAATAGTTCTTGTTTCTGGACCAGTCTAAGTGTCTGGGTTAACTACTGCAAACTTAGGCAATATTCAAGTTCTGAATCTCAGCAGAAAACTAGTTAAAGGCTACAGCAACTTCATATAGGATACCCATTAATTTCACCATTCAAATTACAAATAATTGTCCCGTGTGTTCTTCGAGTAACATCTGTTGCATGATATCATGTGGTGGAATGTAGTACAGCCTAATTTGAGTTGATTTGAAACGTTGCCATTGCACTGTAGTAGTGCCTGAGAGGGCGAGAGGGTTTGTGGTGTGAGTGTGTGATGAATAGGTTGGTTACGAGTAGATGATGTTGAGAAAGATGAACTTGCATTTGAACTGCAAAGGATTAAGTGATTTTACTCTGAGCTTGGTTTGTTGGACAGTTTTGCTCAGGCTCCTTTCATCGTTTGCCAGCTAATCTAATCACTGAATTCTACTTACATTAGGAAATGCATCTATGGTTATAAATATAACTGATTAGTACAAAACACCACTAACAGTAGATTCAAGTCTTGGTTTGGAGTGGGAGGAGCAGGCTTGGAAGAGCTGTCTGGCCGCGGCATAGCTTGAACTGCACAGTCTTCTTGGTGATTTAGAATTTGTGCTGTGAAAACCTTCTCTTATTTGGTATTGTTTCTACAAGGATTTGACTCCGCAAAGTGGGGGTGTTCTGAGGCATTATTGTTTGGACTGGGTCACTCTATGTGCTTACCTATATCATGTATATCTATTAAAGTTGTGCATTAATAATTAAGAGGTGACTTGCAAAAATGACAGTACCTAATTAGCCCCCCCCTATAGACAGGAGTACAGACATCACCTCTGTTCCTTCTTGTGGCACTGCAGTGTCAGACAACTGGGATATCAGTGTTTTATGTTCCTGAAATGTGAGCTGAAGGAGCCCTCTAATCCGTAATTTTAGCATTTTAGTTCTGAAAGCACCA